TCTGTGGATATACACTGTTTTTACAGACTTTAAGGAAAAACTGAACACACATGCCATAACAACTAGATGGTTCACTTATACCTGTGTTTTTCTATTAGTTCTTGAGGAGCATTTGCTGAACATGTCAATATTGCAAAGTGATAGATCGCCCTGATCGAGAATTTCATTACAGTCCGATCAGGCACATTAAAGCAAATGTCATCTTCCAAACGTTATAGAATGACATTTTTCATGATAAATCAATTAAAAATCAATGACCTTGTGATTAACCCACGAGGCATATTCTAATTAATGACAGCTTGTACCAAGTAAACTAATATTTTCATTTTTTTACTCCTTTATCCAACGAACTTTAACCTTCTAAAAATGTAGGCAATATCTTGGAATTTAAAATATTAGTATTAGCTAGTAGACCGTCATTCGGTAACCTGTCAATTTCTTTTCAAATCTTAATCAAATTTTGATAGATTTTTTTTCGGATGCCGTAAGTTTCTTTTATCAGTTCATCTAGATACAGTTTGCTGTCTTCGAGGACCAATGGAGATCATCAAAAAATACAAGTTTTTCTATTATGATTCTAAAATTGTGGCTTTCTTTATCCTAATTGAAAAAGAAGTTCACTGTTGTGTTCCCTTTTGATGTTGGTTGGGACGGGAGTATTGATGACGATTATTGAAAGCTTTGAAGGTAATTAATTGGTAGGCTGTTTGGGTTAACCTCTTATGTTCTTGCCCTCGGAGACCAAAATGAAGTATAAACGTAGCTTGTAGTTGCAGATCATATTCCCCAATGTTATCCTGAATAAGAATTCCAGAGCCGTCGTGGTAATACAGCTTTGTTCCGCCGATCAGTACTATGTATCTCATGAAATTAATATTGCTAACACCTAATTACTATCATAATGCATGGCTAACTTAGTTTTGTTGTTAAAAAAAACGCGAATTATAACTATGAAGATATTATATTTATTCTTCTTCCGGTTAACTCCGCAGTAAATATAAAACCGGAAACAGTTATTGCCAATTTAGTCAATGATTTATGCAATTTTAAGGGTGTCATTGAAATAAAGCAATATCATAACAAGCACAGATCACCATAAATCATAACGGTTGGCCCATTTTCGTCTAACGTCGAAGTATAAGTATTGTTACATTTACATCGTGGTGATTCCAACATTTCAAATAACCATTACTTATCCGAGAATGCAGCACCTAAAATGTCAAGCATTAAATAAGTCGATGATACAATGATATATCGGATTATTAGCTATTATTCGACACATTATTGGTATATTTGATTCAATTATTATCAGACACTGGAAGAGAAAAATGACCGATAACCTATCCTGCTATTTAGTTTAACATCTACATTAAAGAATACCGCCTACTCCAGAGATATTCTCAGAATTAATTCCCAGATGATTAAGATTCTTAAGTGGCTCATTAAGTAAAATTTACCAGTACATCCACTGTAAATATTGGGGAGTGTTACCTTTAATTTTTATCAGGCTTTCATTGTTGTATCAATTATATATCTATTAGTTAAAGAAGGGTTACCTGCAGTAATTGTGGCATTTTGGAGGGGGTGATTTTAGTCTTGAAAATAAATTTAAATAGTCGTCAGAAGTACAAGAAATGTACGAAATTCTCATAATTCCTTTAAAAATATCTCGAAATAGGAATTTTAGTCACTATTTCTATAATGTCTTTTCTATATATCACAGAGTATCTTATCTTGACGAGTCGTCATTTAAACATTTAATAATTCTTGGTACGCATGGATTGGAAGGCTCATATGTCGGCTTAGCTAAACAAAATTCCCGTTTCTGGTGAAAAAAAAAATAGCGCGATCTGTCCCTTTAATGAAGGATTTTCTATGAGGAACATTTTCATTTAGATAATTTTGTAGACTATTCAGTCTTTGTATAATTTCATATCCATGAAACATCCATATACATGTAACATCCGTATAAAGTTCGTACATGTAAAGTTCATGCAAATCGCACGCTTCATCATCGGTATCTCTCGTGGATATATTATTTTTTAATAGTTTATATTGACTTAACCGAATAATATCACTCGACGATAAAATTGCACTCAAGTTCGATATCGCAGCAAGTCGCTGTGTGTGTGCAATTAATATTGAGTTGCAGAGAAAAACAATTGCAATGAATATTGTACCCAAGAGTGCCAAGACATAAAATCATTCACATTAGGCTCAAATAAAGTGAGGTTATTGTCCATTTCACCTTGCATTGTCAATTACCAAGGAAGTTAAAGCTAATTACGATGTTGAGATGTAACACAAGTATCAATTTACTCAAACGGTTAGCGATCAATTAACCTCCAGTTAAAAGCTCTCTGTGGCTGTGTCCTATGGACTACGGAAGTCACTGAAATTATGTTAATTTTCAGTTATAAGTCGCAGTAGTCACTGCTTCGTTAAAGAGGCGAATTTGACTTCCGTTTGACCAATTGTAGTTTAGCCTCAGAAACAGGGATTGTTTTAGCTAAGCTAATCAGTAATAGTGTTCACAGTCCACCGTCATCTAATCCATGTGTTTTCAGAACTACCTGCGTTTGAAATTTAAAATGACGACTCGTCTTTTCTTGAAACTGCCACATAGAAATATAGAAATTCTTAGTTGGAGGTTTTTATGCGATTCGCGTACCTTTCTAGGACTTCTGAAGACTATTTATTTTATATTCAAGGTCCATTGTGATCCCTTTGTCACCATCATATTATTGACATTGTAACATTCTTGATCTTCCATTGATGTCAATACAGAACGTTTTCCTTGTTTTATGAACTTAACATTTCCTGGAATAGTACGATTAACAAAAAAAAAATGTCGCCATAACTTCAACTCTAGTTTTTAAAAGTGTGTTATGAAAAAAAAGGCAAAATTGATTTGTCTTGGTAATCCAGTCTCTTCTCTGAACAATCGGAAATAAATTGTCCAGCACGTAAGAGGAAACGTTTTAACACAACTCGTCTCTACTAGTGAGTAATGGGTATTTCCGCAACAATCGTCAAATTTATCATCTGTGTGATATTCTTGGGAGAAAGGCCTTAAACCACTTTATTTTTGACAGATAACCTCTGATGACGAAGAAATTCGAATTAAAACGGTCTTCAATACAGACATCTCGTCAGATAATTCTGGTACATATTACTATCACTTCCGGTGTAATATGTCTCGATGCACGGTAACGTCGCCAAACCTTCGTGATGGTTGAAAAACTTCATTCCATTTCATTTATAACATACACTTCGTGATTGACATTTTCTCTCAATTTAGCCCCTGCTCTGGTATTACGACCGTATTTTTCACTTTTTTTTACTCGTGTTTTTTACTCGTGTTGTTGATCATCAACAACTTTACCTATATCTTTTAACGTGAAGGTCCCGGCACAGTGGGAATAATACATTCTGATTTTTCAGCCTGTTCCAACTGTCAGTGACGCATGTCTATTTGTTCGGATGAAACAATAAACCAAGGCCTTGTTTGCTAGCTTACCTGTTTAAGATCTCTTGATGGAAATCGAAAAAGAGTAAGCTAATGCCATTGAACTAGCGAAATAAACTTAAGTTAAATCTGCATGTCGTTGTCCCCTTTTATAACATCATTTCATTTTCTAAACTGTGATTTGCAATTACAAGTATTGAAAATAAGCGTAACACGCATAAAAAGTCCGATAAATCCTTTTAATGACAAAGGGATAATGTAGATATATAATATAGATAAAAACAAATATATAGTGTGAATAATTTAACTAGAAACATTATCCACTAATTACACGTCTAGTCAGCCTTATATTATTTATAATAAACTCTAAATACACGTATTTATTATTAATTGATCGGAATAACCATCAGGTGCGAAAAAGTATAAGTATCTCCATGCACGGAACTAGGCGAGGTTAAACTGACCGTGTTAGCCTGTCAATCAGTACTTACTCATTTATGATTGATATATTTCCTCATATTAAAAGTTCACAAGCTGCTAAAAATCTTATTTCGTTTTCCATTTAAGATCGTTAATAATTGGTTGGTTTTTTTTATTAGTAGTGCCTTGTAAGGAAATAGATAAAAATGCACAAAATAACTCTTGCTGAGTACATGCTGTGTTTCAATGCAGACCAAAGAAAGTGTCTGACACTGTTTTCTTACTAGTTATTTTTATAGTTAAATTCGCTGACAGTGAAAGACGTAGGGGTTAAATCCGACTTCAAAGCCACTCGGTAATCCTTGACCATACATATTGAAACTGACTGTAATAAACCGAAAAGTCAATTTGTCTGAAGCAAGTTTCATTGTAAATATCAAACAAATAACAACTTTTGCACATGCCATCAAAGCTCTTTCCATGTGAGATGTAGAAACAATTAGTCATTTCGTTCACATAATTATTTGATTAAATTTCATTATTTTGTGTACGTCATTTCACTTCCACAAATAATCATCTTGTATGCCAATTCAATGGGTGGAAATTGATGTTTTTCGTATTTTCATGAAGCTAAAAGGTATTTAATGCATAAACTTGCTAGTTTAGTGGTTTGTTTGTAATTTGTTAATCGCCTGGCAATTTAGCGGTTCTTTCTGAACTCAGTCAATTCGTATTACAGACTAACAGATCATGTTGCAGATGGAGTAAGGATTTTGAGGATTCTAAGTATTCGAGAGCTTCATGCATATTATGAAATTGATTATGAATAGATTCAGGATGAAACAGATAATTCATTTAGAAGTTTGGAGAGGATCTATCTTGCGATCTCGATCAACTGGTACCAGACTGCGACAAACTAGGAAAAAAAGTCCATACAAAAATTACAAACTTCAACACAGTCGACCTCATACCTCGAGTTACGCGAGGATATTACATTCAAAGGTGTTTTCATCGTCTTTGCCACGCGTGTAGTGGAATTTTATACCGCCCAAGGAGGTGTTACAACGCTTGTCTGACGACCTTCCCGATTCCACACGCTTATACCACGCTAATGGCGACCTTAACACTCTCTGAGCCAATTTTCCTTCACAGGCCAGTAAGAAAGCCTTCATGGTTTAACTGAACCATTATCTTCCTTCGGTTAAGATTTGTTACTCTGCATTTGATTTAGAAATATATAGCATACAATTTGATCTAGAGAATCGTTCAGAGTTCCCTAACTCTTTCAGGTTTAAGAAAACAATCGTGCAAGTTTGAATGCAACCAATCGTGTTGTGCAAATTTGATGAAATTGATAACCATGTAATTTGATTATTCCAGAAAGAGGTATGATATTGGAATAGATATTTCATCAAAATGAGCTATCATGGTTATTTGTGTAGTACTGTCATAAGAAATATTGAGCAACATCTTATCTGATCTTATTTATCTTTATTACTAGAGAGTCTCGTCTGACCTACAAACACCTTCATTCTCTGACTGGAGCCTTATCTATTTCATTTATTACTGTTGCCTAAGGCTATTTAATACTATCTTCGGTATAGCAGATCTCAGATCTACAATTAATGTCAGAAATGAGAGACAAATGAAATTAATTGTTTCTATATGTGTTAAATAGGTCTTATATCAGATGATGATGGTTGACATCTTTCCTGACATAACCAGAATCGACAGAGTACAACCATAATGGAAAGTGTTGCATCTTGCGAACACGAACTGATATGAACTTTTGAAGCCGGATAATACCATGCAGTGTGAACCGGGAGAAGTTTTAAGGATAGTGGCATTAGCATACTCTTGTACTTTTCCAACCGTTGAAGAATCTTTGACACATGCACATACTGTAGTGCTCAGAGTCTCGATTTGTTGTCCCATCTGAAAGAATAAAACACTTTTCAATAACAGTCTTTTTGACATCGATACCGCTGAGAGGCTTAAATTTCCAGGGAGTTTCCTCAGTGTATTGTGGGATCGAAGTACATTGCTTATAGATTTACACAACAAGATTTTAACCGGATGGTATCATTCTTTTTGTTTGTCTTAAAATTACACATATCTCGGTTTGTCCCATAAGCTGTCAGGACTTGGTACTTTTGTGTAATGGACCTTTAATACTGACCCACGTGAACAAATAATTTTATTATAATTGTATTTCCTTGTATTTGATAATTTATATAACTAGTTTGAAAAATAAGGTCATCAATATATCATATAATGCAGATCGTAATAAGTATGATAAAAGATGTATTTAGAACAGCACCAATGAATTATTTGTATGATTGTACCACATCTGACATCAATACAGCAATAATTGGGTTTCTCTTTCTGTTTAAGTAACAACACTCTTTTAAATCATTTTTACTGAGTGTATTGCGAGTCGTCAGTATTTTGTCTTTGATATGAGAATTTACTTGCAGCCATTAATAAATTTCACACAAGGGAATGATCAAATATGACATTTATTGAGCACATAATTGTCCAATTCGCCGCTAGGTCCCAAGAGAGCATCGAATATTATTCCTGATTTATATAGATTGACTTTTAATAACAAAGAGTTCGTTTCCAGAACAATGTTTTAAAAACCGTTCCATAAACGGTAATCTGCATGTCAAACTAAAATAGTACCCTATTTTTGCTTCGGGACAAGAAAATATACATTTCCTCTCTCGCCTACACATACAAACAAGGTATGCCTTTGTAAATCGTATTTTTTTTTTCAGAATGAACCACGACCTGGATGTCCATCAGCTAATACCATCTGTAGTACCATCTACCAAGATTCACCAGAGAATATAGGTGACGAGTACTTAGTGAACAGTATCTGTAGTTGTCAAAATGGTCAGTCATGTCCAGTAGATATAGATCATAATAACACACTTCAAGTAGATGATGGTGTATGGTAAGTATATTTAAACTGCTGTGCTCCTCTTCATCTGCGTTCAGATTTCTCTAATCCTAGTCACCCTTGCTTAATTTTTTGAATAATACTCTCTGATGAATGAGTCTTGTGCTTCATTATGACCACGACAGCATGAGCCTTGTGTACTCGTGTACTAAATGGCACATTCGGTAATCTGATAGTTGCATATGATTTATTGCTGATAAGCTTGATATTGTTTCGGGTGTGGCAGCTATATACTATTGTTCTGTCGTTTGTTTTCTTATATCTCGCTATTATTAGTCGTTCCCGAGTTTCTGACCTTATTCTGGTAAATGCAGCTATTATTTTTCGTTTTGAAAAGAAATTTGGTTTGTCAGTTCTTCCGTTTTGTTATCTGTAAGTGTAAAGACAGGGGGCAAACGTTTAAGTAATACTAGCTCTCTGCAACACAGTTACGTATACTGCAGAGTTGCAGAATGGTGAGGGGCCAAACGGTCCATCGTAAAAGTACTACTGCTAGCGCTCAGCAACAACATTACGGATACTAAAAAGTTGCTGTGGCATCACTCTGGATCTATTAGTCTGTGAAAAAATCAGATCATCTAAACATTACATCAGTTAGGATGCATACATTCTAGTTACAGTACCCATAAAAGTGCGAAACTACGATCAGTGAACTATTTACTGTTTAGCTTCCGGGAGTAACAACAGAATGCAATTTTATTGACATTTCTTATTTGTCATATCGCAAAGAGTAGGTCGAGTAGAAATTATAAGTTCAACAGACAAAATAAACATTATATTCAATGATAAATAGAAATTCGTCGAGGTTCGTCGTAATTAAATAATAACTGTTTTAAAGCAAATTAAATCATAAGGAAGCTTACATAATGGCACAGAAAGTCTAATTTGATTACAGAACGCTGGCCATGCATAAGATTGTCTTCGATTAATACAGTTACCAAGAATGGTTTGGGGCGAGTTTTCTATAAGTGGCATTTTAGTGTGGAATGATATGATTTTATTTAAGACTGTCACTGTTAATTATCTTCTTTCTGGTCAAAACATATAGGATCCACACTGCGGATCTCCATTTTGCTAAAATACATAGGATCTTGTTTTGAAATAATTCTGAGTTGAGATCAAACTTGGAATGAGACTCATAAAAACTTATTGTGTACAGTCACTGTGTGTTCACAACCTGACTTTCACAACCAATTTACGTTTAATACGTCCAAAACAGATCTAAGGCAATGTATACATAATGTATAGATGCATTATTTGAATTCATTGAATGTGATTCATTTATTTCTCCTTAAAATTACGTGATAGGCCTACCAACATATAGCTGAATCTAATATAATTTCATGAAGTATAGAGTCAATATGGATATTATTTGAAGCTAATTAATGAAATATAAAAATTCATAAGCTGCTATTTAATCATTACGTGCGGTCAAATATCTTTCTCCAATTTACTACACTATTTATACTGTTTGACATGTCTTTGACCTCGTGTACGTCTAAAAACTCCACTAATCTGATCAAGAAAAACTGGGCAAGATTTTAATGTTTAAACGATTTGTGATTGTAATCTAGTTATAGAATTTTATGGCGATCAAGAATTAAATTGCTACACATTATTCCTTTCGTACTTCTATTTTATTTCATTAAAATGAACATTACAAAACTTGTGTACCTTGCGGAATACGCTAAAGTTTTTCGTGTTTAGGGAAATAACGTCATTAAAAGAAAACGTGAAATGACACGTTTGGTGAAATTTCATGTAAAAATACAGATCAATGTATTAAGATGGTTATAGAAGCTTTCGATGAATTGAAAGGATTCGCTTTATTAACCACCTTCAATCTGTTTTCTATACAAGGAGATGTTAGAATGTTTTGATTGATTTAACAATAAAATGTTTTAAGATTAAAGGGTTTCTTGAATGAATCTTGACAATCAATCATTGTTCTTTAATTACATCTGAACAATGATGTTTTGAAGGTCGCCTTCTCCAAAAGTAAGTGCTAAGTATCCTTAATCTACAAAAAACATGTTTACGCTTTTTTTAATAAATTGAATCACAAATGCACTTAGCTGTTACATGGCATTTTGACTAGTATTTGGATGAGAAACACGAACAGAATAAAATACACTTATTAAATACTTCCTTCAAATATCAACATAGACACAAGTGATTTCATTATCAGAAGAAAACTCCTTAAAAACACTTGGCTTTTTAAAGAAAATATCATAAGAGTCAAACGTCCGACTTTTTCAGGACCTATCGTCACTCCTACGCTTCTTCCTTATTCATTTCCTATGCCAAGAAAATACTTAAGAGTTTAATGTACCTGGAATGTAATCATTATTAAGCCAACCATTATACTGGAGACATATACCTTCCATATACCTTCCCTTCTTAATACGTACAATTTTTATATTATTATAACATTTTTAAAAAGTTTAGTTTTCAAATATTTCTGAAGAATTTTGTTGGGTATAGATTATGTAGAACATAAGGGCATTGTATAGGGCATTGTATAAATAGATATCTTCTTGTAGATGGGTACATTAAATTATGGGGTGGATTCTTGTCGCGACGATAGATTAATTGCATTAAGTAAATTTTGATCCTTTTCCACGAGAGGTTTTCAAGTCTTTTATTGAGTATCAGAGATACGTATACTACCGGTTTCAAACATGCGATATCCTACTACATAGAACGACAATTTGAACAAAAAAATGAATTAGAAAATTAACCTGGTAAAGATCCTTTGAATCAATGAATCAAATTTGACACGAACTAAGAGAAATGTCTTTTACTAATTATATAGTATGTAGGACTATTAATTTAAGACAACAGTAAGATAATATAATGTACACAGACACAAAATACTTCTATCAGACTTGTGTCGCTCTCTTTCTTTTAGTAAATTATACTCGTGATGTTTTCGTGATGAAGTGCTATATTGCCAATCACTGTGTCAATCTTGACATTGTGTTTCGAGATAAATGGACCCTAAACACAATATAGCATAAATACCACCTTAAATTTGAATAAGAATATCATGTATTGTTATGATAATTTTTTGCAATTGCATGATTGCAATGAAGGGCATATCAGGAAACTCCTGTAATTTTTATTCCTCTCATGACTGTCAGGAAACTTACAGTATAAAACGTCAAAAGCAATCAGGAAATTGCAACATTACCTACTCTTTTGTTACGGAAGCATCGAACAGGTTATTTGCAGCAATATAATAAAAAATGATGCTTTTGCAACAATCTTAGCAAGACTACTTCCGGTTAAAGTTGTCACTGGACAATCGTATCTAATCTAGTAATCTCATACCCAAGTTATGAGAACCAAATCAATTTAATAAGCAAAGCATAATACCTTTAAATACAGTGAGTTTTAACTACATGTATACTAGATTTAAAATTAATTTTAAATGCAGTTTATGATGCAAAGTATAAATAAACGACATAATAACAAAGACTATTTCATTAAAATCACATTAAACGGATTGGTTTCAATTAGGCATCAAACGGCCTTTGAGTTTTTTTTAAAGGTAATATGTTACTAAAAATTTTAAAAGTTAGGCAATGTCATCAATCAATGTTAAAAATTCAAGATCAAACCAGACCATTAAGATTATCCCAAAAGTGCTCACAGATCAGACGGCTTTATTCAGAAAGAAATTAGTGTCGCCTACATCATCTGTACATACATTTAAAGTACTTCCTGTTCAAGTAGAAAACTATACAATAATTGTTTAGAATCATGTTTCTCATGCCTTTTAATCTTAGATTTAACATAAACTACAATCACGTTAACACGATTTGTCAAAGGCTTCAATTGTACTCGAAATAGAAAAATGATTTATTATGATCTAAGATTATACAATAAATAGTTCAAAACATTAGAAATTCTGAAGAAAGGGTCAATGTGCGAGTCTTACTTCCGAGAGAATGTATTCTAGATGCGACATTTTTGTCTGAATTTTAAACAAAGGAGAGGATTATATATGAAAATAACTAAATTCCAAAATTGGTTGACACTTTGTGTGTGTTTACCACTGTCCCCATAGCGGTGCTAGCGTCGCTAAAGGTCCTTGGTGCTTTAGCAATTTCAGACAATGAAAGTGACGTTTGAGCTTATTAAATTGAGAAATCCTTCCCTAGTTACTTGTATCCCGGGTGGGAAGTCAGTTGTGTAGTTATTCGATTCCAGTCTTCTCAACATGAGATTATTCTGACCACAGAAAAGTTGCATTGTGTCATGTACAAATTTGGGCTGCTAAGAGCATCAAAGCTAGGTTTTTATTGACGTGACTTTTCTGAATGAGGAAGCATTATCGGTCTCGTCAAAAGTTTACAGTATTATAAATGTATTTGAAATTAATGACGGTTCACTGTTATAGTGTCACAATATGCTAGGCAATGACCGCGTAGTTTCACATGAACTTAGATATTGTAAAGACAAAAGATTATAATAGTCATTGTATTCAATGGGGAACTTTATCTTATAAAGAGGATTATCTGTGGATATAAAAGAGTCTATAACAATGGTGAAACAGCAACTATATAAATTGACTATTTCTGGTTAATTTCAGGTATGGATTATGCCAACCGACCAAAGATTTTAGTGAATGTAAAGTAAATGATGTAGCTACCAGGTCATTTGAGAATTCAGACAAATTTCAAGGCCATGGGTATTCAGAGGTAAGACACCTTATACATTCAAACAGTCAATCCTTTCCGTTAATTAAAAATCCGAAGTCGAATACAAAAGGCAAAATGAAAATAATTGAAAAGGTAAGAATAATGAATGTATGTGGTAGAGAGAGATTACGTCCTTTGCTTTAAAAAAAAACAAAGCTTTAACGACCCGAACCGCAAAACGAACAACAAAATATTTGGCAATACATTGGTAACAGCAAATGAACTTTCCGTTTGAGGAATTATATAACGTTTCAACGATGTGAGGAATTGATATACTCGACAAGAAATATTCCGATACTCTACTGTTTTTTTTTTCTGTTTATCAAGAAGATTATATACTGGACGATTTTTAAGGAAATACCCTTTGGCAAAAATCTGGTCACGTCTGTATAGACCATGCGAATGCCTAAAGACTTAAAAATATTAAGCAATTATCACTGATACCAAAAAATAGCTTTGTGCAATGTGGAACCAAACAAAGTACTGTAATCATTTATTATATAATTTTTCAGTTAAACTGTATATGTACGTCAGAAAATAAAGTAGTATTGGAGAACAAAATAAGATCGGAAGACAGTGAATATGGTCCTGGTGTTGATAAAATATGTGGAGGTAATATTAACTACATTAATAACATATTGTAGAAATTGTGACTGATACGATGGCAGATTTCTGTAATCAGAATGCAATGTAGGAAATCCAGGGATATATTTATTATCCTACAATCAAATGTACAACTAACCTCAGTTGGTTAATTAAATCAGGGGATTGTAAAGATAGTAGATAAAACGAAATATCCAGAGCTGTTTAGGTACCACGACTGCATGCAAAGCTTAATGTTATGATGGTGATTGATTTTATTGTAGATAAAGCATTTCAGTTTGACTTTCAGCTACTAACAGGTTACACTATATGAAGATGTGCTATTGAAAACATATTGTGGACGTAAAAAGGGGGGTTTTGTAACACAAGATTGATTTCTGGTACATTATTGTCATCATAATTGGTTTATGATGACATTACAACCAGTACTATTTTTATCTCCTGTGTTTTTCAGAGGAAGTGGAGAAGAGAGGAATTGATCAAGGAATGTCCAGTTTTTATAAAAGAAGTCAAGATAATGGATTAAGCAGCTTTTACAAGAGAGGGAGTGGATTAAGTGCTTTCTACAAACGAGGAAACGGCTTAAGTTCTTTTTACAAAAGAGGTCATGATTTAAGTGCGTTCTATAAACGAAGTAGAGGTTTAAACTCTTTTTACAAACGTAGATCACCATTCCAACATGTTAGCTCATTTTATAAAAGAGATCTTGGACATGTTAGTTCCTTTTATAAACGTGCACCAGAAAACAGTTTAAGCTCTTTCTATAAACGATCGCATGATATCGGTATGAATTCCTTTTATAAGCGCTCTCGTGATAATGGCATGAGTTCTTTTTACAAAAGATCGCCGAATGATCTATCTAATTTCTACAAAAGGGTACCTGTCGGTTTAAGAAATTTTTATAAGAGATCTGTCGGAAATGATATGTTAGGTTTTTACAAGAGAACACCCTCGTCATATGATTTGTCAAGTTTCTACAAGCGCGCATCTGGAAACAACGCTTTGTCCAGTTTTTATAAACGCGCCCGAGAAAACGACCAACTTTCGGGTTTCTATAAACGTGCTGCTGGCAATGACGATCTTTCAAGTTTCTATAAACGTTCTTCTGGCAATGACGACCTTGCAAGTTTCTATAAACGTGCTGCTGGCAATGACGATCTTTCAAGTTTCTATAAACGTGCTGCTGGCAATGACAATCTTTCAAGTTTCTATAAACGTGCCGCTGGCAATGACGGTCTTTCAAATTTCTATAAACGTGCTGCTGGTAATGACGGTCTTTCAAGTTTCTATAAACGTGCTGCGGGCAATGACAATCTTTCAAATTTCTATAAACGTGCTGCGGGCAATGACGATCTTTCAAGTTTCTATAAACGTGCTGCGGGCAATAACGATCTTTCAAGTTTCTATAAACGTGCTGCTGGCAATGACGATCTGTCTGGATTCTATAAACGTGCTGCGGGCAACGATAATCTTTACAATTTTTACAAAAGAGCCCCCGTTGCAAGCCAATTGTCAAATTTTTACAAGCGAGGTCTTTCATCCAATGATCTCGTGGCATTTTATAAAAGAGCACTTGGTAATGGTGTTTCTAGTTTTTATAAACGAGCTAACTCCGATTTATCTTCGTTCTATAAAAGAGCAGTTGATGATGTCAGTAATTTCTATAAGCGTTCCGGCGAAGATGACCAAACAAATGACAACAGTTTAAGCAGTTTCTACAAGCGTTCTTTAAATGGTGGACAAAACAGCTTTTACAAAAGATCTCCCCTCGATCATGATGTAAGCCACTTCTATAAGCGAGGCCTCGATGATGTAAGTTCATTCTACAAAAGAAATGCAAATCGGCTACAGAGTTTTTATAAACGAGCCCGCGACAACACTTCAAATTTCTATAAACGTAGTCCCGAACAGCAAAGTAGTTTTTACAAAAGAGCCCCTAAAGACAATGTTAGCAGTTTTTATAAAAGGGATTCTAGTGACAATAAAGATGTTGCCTTTTACAAAAGAAGTGTGTGAGGCAATAATTCTGAATTCCTCTATATTTAGTAAAGCAAGGCCTTGTATAAGTAGCAATATATCTGAAACACTATAGTTGCACGGATCAAGTGTGTTCTGTTAAGATCGGTATGTGTCTATGTAATATAAATAAATATTAATGCTTGATTCAAATAAAGTTATGTTTCTTAACTGTTGTTATATCACAATAGCCATTCATGTTGATGTGTCATTTCCCGTGATAAGCCTGGTACATGATGAGATTTAGTATTCCAGCTTTGAGAAAGCATCGAATCGGTTCGGTTGTTCTTCATGCACTGGTATTTCCGTTGCTGGTAGATGCTTTCACCCAGGTTTTGGTTACTTGCCGATCTTACCATCCTCATAATTATACTTTTATACAATATACTTCCAAAATGACTGATCAAACTTTCATTGATTCCATTGTGACGGAATTACACACTTCACAAAATAGATAACCTCTCATTTGAGTTACTTACACAAACACAGTTTTTAAGTTAATTATATCTTCAAAATAATTTTAAAGCCAAAACATTTCATAGGTAGGCCTAATTTCGATATTTTTCAGACAATTGTTGTTTAACGTTAGCGTGGCGGAATAACAGCCTATAAGATATAACTTTTTAGTAAATACGCACTTTCTAATATACAGTGCAGCCGCGTTTATCCGGTTGCTGATAATCCGGAAACCCCGATATCCGCACGCTATCTGCTAAACAACTGCTTTTGTTTCAAGTGATAGAAATAACAACGCAACAAGGCAGAAGTTCGCAAATGGGGATCACTCTGGACTTAACTTTGCGTGACGGACTTACAATCAGACTTTGTGACGTAATTATAAGTTAAAAAAAACTCAAAAAAGCTCAGTTCTTAGAAACTAAGAAACTAGTAAAACCAAAATAATCAAATTAGGACCGGTTCACTATAATATAGGTCAATAAAAACGTGTACTAATGTTAATCTAAAGAAATAAAACAAAACCTAATGAAGAAAAAAGAAATTGAAATAACACATTTCCAGGTCCCAGGGATGTCAAAATTCCGGTTCAAATTTGTTTCGAGCGTTTGGATACAAAACTATAGTCGAAAAAGTCAGGGCATTTTGGTGAAAACTATCCCCACATTACAAACTAAAGGGTTTTTAACTTGGGTTAAAGATAGTAGGCCAAAGAACAAAAAATCGATAGATGAGCCCGTGCTTATAAATTTATTTGTGGTCTGGAATATAGTTGCTTACCATTATATATATACCTCGCAACACAAAAGGCCTCTAGTGTTAAACGATTTGCCAATTTGAGTTTGGGTTTTATGCATCAAAATCGACAGAAGGTGTTTCTTGTCCACAATGTTTTACATGCTTTTGCGTTGTGTGCCAATTTTCGTTCTCAGTCGTATAACGTAGTGGTTCTAGGTTACATCTGTAGGGTGTGAAGCCGTTGATCTGGCATCTACAGATGCAGAAAAGTGTAATGGAAAACTCCATTTCATTTTGATACCTTCCTCTTACAACAAGGTACTGCACACGATTACTTGGTAACATCTGGTCGTACCAGAAAGATTAAAAACATCCTTGGGTTAGACTAACAGTTAAATTTTTACAAATAAGGTATTTCATTTTCGCATGACCAACCCTCAACCGTATTCTTTTGAAGTTGTTTGAAATTTGTTTGGCTGTGTACCGGTAGATCTTGCATATAATCCTTTGGAACAGAACAAATTTCTCGAAAGATATAATGCTCCCATTGAGTAAAAATTTACAGCCGTCAGCATTGTGTTTGTCTAGTCCGCTTCTATTGCATTTTGTCATACAAATATACAAATAAAGATTTTTTCGATCTACATGAAATGGTCTTGACCTGGACTAACACAAGTTGTTCCTTGAACCTTCTCATCAGTTTGTCTTTATAATATATCTCTCAATGTCTGTTGTCCTCGACAGCCTGCAAATTAACAATTGGCATAGACAAGTGTTCATGCTTGCCCCCTTGACGATGACTTTTCTGTCATTTCATTTCCCATCGTGGTAGCATATTTACCAGATTAAAATAGATTACTAGATTTCCGATTAGATAGCCATTTGCAGAACCAATACTTGTCATCTAGAAGAACTTGCGTCGTTGGTGAAGTAACACAAGCTTGAATCTTGACGGTTCATTTTCTTACTGATCACTTAATCTAGGTGACTTTTCTGATCAAGGACAACTTTTTAAAATATGGCATTTCCGTTGTGGTTGTAGACAATGCCATGTCACTGATTTCTAATTGGTTGTCAATTGGGTGAGAGTTGTCTACCATGAACCATTTACAGGACCTTTACCAGACGTACTGTTTCACTGGTATCTCAGACATAACCAAGCACATCAAGCGCAATGACAGGGTATAGAGAAGAAGGATGGTTATGGTTGACACATTATTTCACCAATAGATCACGCCTATCACCAACTTATTAGTAGTAAAGATCCACATTTGAAACCTGCGTTTCCATACGAAATTACGTATAGTTCTTACATGGGAATGTTTAGTATGTTGCGTTTCTTCATTGAGAACTTCACTATCACTCACATATTTCAAACGCCAGATTTCGATATTTACACATAATGATGTTTTTAACAACTTTGTATCACTATTCATATTCCCTAATAAGAATCTACCTGTTGAACTTATATAGATGGACATTAGTAAACATTGGCGCAGATCACGGGAGAAAACCTGGAACCTCCACAAATAGTGAAACTTGGTTGAGTAGAATGTCTGTAATGGACGTAAAATAGGCACAATTTGGCATCCGAGAACATCAAAAAGTGCCGAAATTTTGCGCCTGCGGCGCACTATTCGATCAATTTATGGTTGAGAGACAGAAGACTATTTGTTCGTTTTGTCACCCATCACCACTCACAGAAGCGCCATTACGAAGGGGCACACGTAGCGAATTTTATCGTGCGCATATTTTCGTCGATCATATCCTGTGATGGGTACAAATGGCGGACCGCCACTGAGAGGACTTGCCTTGACATTAAATTTGATTGGTTAAAAGGTATCGGTCGCCCTATAGATCACCCAGGTGAAATTGAAGTTTTTAATTCAAAATTAATTTTTTCTCCTACATAGGTCGGGGGCACTGGATGACTGGAAAATTCAGTAACATGCAAGAAGGTGCCTTTCTTTCTATAATATTTCTGAGAGCTATAAAGATACGGTGTCACCAGCTCAACTGAAACGTTCTCATGCCGCTAAACTCTGCAATCGAATTCGCACCTTCGGTCCGACCCCCTTTGAATAAATCCTGGTCCCTGCTGTATAAGTATATAAGTAAAACAGGCCTGGAAAAGATAACCTTTGTCTGAATAATTTTCCCCTGAAGGAAAAAGGTCATGTTTCATGCACCTTCCATAATAAAAGTGTTATCCAGTTCAATTTCTTTCCATCTGACACGCTTCCGACATCTTATTATGTTATCCCTACAATGCCTTTGAAAATCTATTAAGTTTTCTTTTGATTATGATTAAATGTACCGAAGAACCGAACTATAAAGGGAATAAGAAACCATGTAAGAGTAAGGGAATTAACTGAGGAACAAAAACAATTGGATACTGACTTAAACTAATTAGCCTTTAAATAGGATATCGAGATTGAACCTGATTATCCGGACGTAAATAATAAGTCTAATGAATAAAATAGATCAGGTCTACCTGTAGGGAACAACAAAAGAAGTAAGAATACACCTTTTAGGAGTAACTAAAGTATTATATTCTTCGTCGTCGAGACGACTTCATCAGGTGAGCTGATTTGGAAACAACATAAGGTTTTAAGACAGAGATCATGTTCAGTGCAACTCCGTGACAGAGCAACCAGACGATCTACAGATAGTTGAAAATCGAAAGAGTAGGCCTTTGCGCCCTGAATTGCGTTGGTTATTGTTTTAAGTAAAATTATACTAACCAATAGAAGTAAATAATAATACAGCGAGCTTTGTTTTCCAAATTACTGAGACAGAAATCAACTTGTACATCTATAAGTTCTTTGTTATACCTCCTTCAGATCGCTTCCTTGCTGCACTGCTACGGCGACAGAAAACTTGTCCAGAGTTAAGGTCGCCATTAAATTGGTATCAGCGTGAAGGAAACGCTATATATGGTCGCCAATGATACTCAGTCAAGGAGTTGGATTGTTAAAAACAAGCGCAAAGGTTCTGCAATCTGTTCTGAAGCGTATTGAGAACACCATCGTATAGGAAGGCCGTTTGACAAGCGTACAATCTCCATGTATCTCCATAATGACAGCAAAGACGCTGCAAAAACGGTTTCATTTCCAAAGTCGACTTCATAGCGTGCTTACCACGACCGTCTCCGACCGTTTCTGAAACGACACTTCTTATTCTACGATTTCGAAGTCCTTATGACGTTCTCAGGGGGCTCACAATGCGCATATGGCCCTATCATTGGGCTTTCACTGCGTTTATATTGTTCTGAATGCGACTTGAGTTTTCTTTACGTTTTTGGGCGAGACAGTATAATATTTTCTAATCGCCGTATGATCGTAATGGTCGCCGTCATGATATGAGGGCATGCTATAGATGGCAGTCGGCATTCAACTTACTATCATATACAAGTATGGATTTCCATGGGGTAAACCTATACAACCCAGCCGTCTCCATTAGCTGAACCAGGTACAGAAAATAATATGTAGAACTCCATTTCATTACATTTTTTCTTGTTTTGCAGTATCAAGATTCAACTAAATTCAAGGGTCTTCTAGAGACAGAGAGAATCCATTATAGTAGTAATTGATTCGGCGAAGAGTTCCTGCAGTCTAACTTGATTAGGAACTCAATTTACGCTAATAATGGAGATCCCTTCACGTCAATAGAAATCACTTGTCAACAAGGTCAAAGTCGCTGATGGTCATTACTGAAGTGGACAAGAAGAAACAATAACCAGGCGTTGTAAACAAGTCTACCAAGGTCTCATTCTACTTCAATAATCGAATAACCTGGAAAACAAAACTGTTTACATTCGCTTCGTTCATGAATTACTTAATACAACCATTGCATAATATTCTGTAGAGACTTTAATGTCAACCACAGACAATCCATTTCTATCATATATTTTGTAACAGCTTACATAACCTAATATTGTGGCTAGTATTTAAGTTTCTCTTGTACAAGATAACT